TTTTGATTAGGTACTATAATACACGTGTGTGAAGTTAGCACCCGATTTTCAGCAACGATTTTTCAGAAGCTCATCACCGGTAACTGTAGTTAAGGGTCAATTATGGTATTTATTCAATTTTGAATATCGGCTATATCAGTGGCGACGTATGACTTGCAGTCTAGGGGGGGTAATGGGAAGATGCGACCCCCCGCTAACGCGCCGCAGGTGAATTTTTTTTTGTCAATTTCAAGGTCATTCACTTTTCCAGAACAATAATTTCCTTTGTGAGGAAAATAAAACGAAAAAAAAAATGTATTTTCTTTAATAATTATTATGTATTTTTTTTTTGGGCATCGTGATTTTATTTCCCTTGAATTTTTGGATCCTGGGGGTGGTAATTACCCTCTTTCCCCTCCTCCCCCCCCGACGCGACGCCCCTGGGCTATATAGCCATATATTTGTAGAGAATATAATTGGCTTCCTTTTAAGTCTAATTACGTCACAATCGGTTGAAAATTGACAAAGTTATGAGCCAAAATGTCAAAATTTCGAAAAAATCGACATTTTATTGAATTTTGACACTTACCATTTAACAGTTGATTTAAATTGATGAAAAAAAGAGTTAAAATTTATTGATAATAATTTGTTTCATTATTGTTTTGAAACACTGATGTGGCAACATTGAAAAATCGCGCAAGTAGGCTATGAATTTTTTGTTTGCAGTTGGTACTGTCATGGCGTCTTTTAATGTTGTTTGGGACTCACGTGCCGAGTTTTTTTGCATAATTTCGGGGTTCTTTGGACTAATTAAGGACTGAAATATAATAACCATATATTTGTAAAGAATGTAATTGGCTTCATTTTGAGTCAAACTACGTCAAAATCGGTTGAAAATTGACAAAGTTATGAGTGAAAATGTCAAAATTTCGAAAAAATCGACATTTTAAATTGGATTTTGACACTTGACATTTGATTCAAATTGATGAAAAAAAAGTTTGAATTTATTGATATTAACTTGTTCCATTATTGTTTTGAAATATTGATGTGGCAACATTGAAAAATCGCGCAAGTAGGCTTTGGATTTATTTTTTTTTGGCAGTTGGTACTAGGATGGCGTCTTTTGATGTTATTTGGGGCCCACGTCCCGGGTTTGCATCGAAAATATACAAAATTCC